TATACATGGAGTGTGTATATGGAGTGTATATGTGGAGTGTGTATATGGAGTGTACATGTGGAGTGTGTATATGGAGTGTGTATATGTGGAGTGTGTATGTGGAGTGTATATATGGAGTGTGTATATGGAGTGTGTATATGGAGTGTATACATGGAGTGTGTATATGGAGTGTATATGTGGAGTGTGTATATGGAGTGTACATGTGGAGTGTGTATATGGAGTGTGTATATGTGAAGTGTGTATGTGGAATGTATATATGGAGTGTGTATATGGAGTGTATATGTGGAGTGTATATATGGAGTGTGTATATGGAGTGTATATGTGGAGTGTGTATGTAGAGTGTATATGTGGAGTGTGTATATGGAGTGTATATGTGGAGTGTGTATGTGGAGTGTATATGTGGCATATATACCACATCTGCTTTATATATTCGTCAGTTGATGAATATTTGGGCTTTTTCCATAATTTGGATATTGTTGATAGTGCTGCTCTAGATATTGGGGTGTGTGTGCCCCTTCAAATCAGCATTTTTGTAACCTCTGCATAAGTACCTAGTAGTGCAATTGCTGGGTCACACTCCATTCTAATGGATCACATGCAGAAGCCCATGACAGGCACACTCATGGGGCAGCTGTGGGGAAGAAGGGGGGACATGGGCCAGGCTGCTCAACTCCCACACCCATCCTGGGGAGTGCACGGTGGGGGGCATTTAAAAACAGCGATTCCGGGATCTCTGAGCTCCCATCCAGCTCGGACACCATTTGATTCAAGTCAAAGGATTCTGCCAAGATCTCCAGCCCGGCTCCCTCCCTCTGTCAATTTTCTGTGGGACACTGAGTAAGTCAATGCTGCTTTCCAGACTATCCCATTTGTGAAATGAGGTTATTGGACATTCAACAAACATGCGAACTGATGAACCTATTAGAAATATTTAGAAACACTGTGCTGCACTGTGTCCTCTACCTCTACGGTCTTACGCAGACTGCCAATGACCCCGCGAGGCAGGTCCTGCTTCTCAAAGGTGCGTCAGACATTGTGCATTTCCAGGTTCACCTATAAATTGTGTGTGTGCAAATGTGTGTCTGCAAACATGCACACACATACCAAATTTCTAAAATTTCTATGAAGTGCCTTCCACGGACTCAACATCCCTTCTGAGCCAGTGTGACACTGAAAACAGAAACACACAGACAGACAACTGGGGCCCTGGAGTCAGACAGACGTGAGTCTGTGTCCCAGCTCTGCACCTTTCTAGCTGTGTGACCTCACACCAGCCACTCTAGAGGGCCATGTGCCACTGGCCTGTCATCTGGTGGACGAGGAGGCCAGCAGCAGGACCACCGCAAGGTGAGCGAGGGCTGGGGAAGAAAGTGCACACTCAGCTGTGGGAGCATCACTGGGCTGCGGGTGGTACACAGTCATCGCAGCTCCTGCCCGCGATCGCTGAGGGTTACATGGAACCACACCGCCCCAGGCACACTTGCAGCAGGGAAATGATGCTGTCAACCGTGTGCCATGTGTGTGCCACATCACACAAGGTGTGTCCTCCCGTCCTCGCAGAGCAAGTTAATGGTGGAGACAGGGCACCTGTGCCCACACAACACACTCATCTGCTAATAAGTGCTTGGTTCTTACGCTAAGGCCAGGAGGGTCCCGTCCTGGAGACTGAAGGGATTTGTTGGCATGGGTGGAAGCTTCCAGAGGAGGGATGTCTCCAGGCAAGGCAGCCCGGGGGATGGAGCATCAAGGACGGAGTAGGCTGAATGCCAGCTCCCGCCACCCTCGCTTAGAGGAAGGAGGGACACTTGGGGAAAACAGCTTAGTACCTGGTGGTCTCAGTTTCACTTTCTGTAAAATGGGAACAATCACAGCCACTGCAAAGTTTTTGTAAGTGTTGAATGTCTCCACGGTGCTCCCTGTAACATTTCCAAAGTTGTTCTGGGTGACACCAGTTTGATTTGTAATTAAATTGTGAGGGGGGGGTGTGGGAAGGTAGGGGGTTCTTTGGCCAAATGGGTTTGTGAAATACAGAAATACAGAGTTAAACTCAGTTAAACAGGTTCCTTTACAGCAGGCTTCCTTGAAGCCTTGACTATGCTTGCTGATGGTGGTTCTCCAGTGTCCTTGCCCACTCGATCTGGTCACAGGGCATGTGGGGGGCTGGGGTGGCTCAGGGCACACGGGGAGATGCATGTACACTTCACTGCGCCTCATCACGGGCAGAACCAAGGCCTTCACACCCTTGCGTTAAAGAATCCAGGCCGCCACTGGCAAGGCTTCCGAAGGGCTAGAAAGGAGAATTGTTCACAGAGTAGGAGGAGGAAAGTCGAGACGGTCTCCAGTTGGCCAGCATCGTACTTAGGTGTGGTTTGGGGAGGGAGGAGACTTCCTCTTTGGTCTTTAGGTGCACGTGGGTGGCTGTCCTTGGTCGGATACAGGGGGCAGGTGAGCAGTCTACGGATGCTTCACATGATGAAAGGTCATTCAGTATTAGGGACCCAGGGTTTTCTGTGGCCGCTCCTCCCTCGGAACAAGTTTGAGTCGGCGGGCACACTTTCTGGGGTCGAACTGCCCGCAGCTTCCTTACGAGCAGAGGCTGCCACAACAGGCGATTTCTCAGCCACCATTTACACGTCCGCACAATGGGGATGAGGCCCTACCTCGCGGATGAGTCCCTATTTTGGAACTCGATGGTCCAGACGTGAAGGAGGCACCCGGGACAGGCGGAAGTGGTTTCTGAGATCCCGAGCGCGGACCGAACACCCGTTAGCACCCCTCTGTTAGCACTGAGAGTGGCAGAACCACCGGGAACATCACAGCGATGTTAATACCAACATAACATAACAATAAGCGACGCTGAAGAGGCTGCTACTGGCCGACAGGCCCCGCTGAGGATTCACCACATGCCGAGCACGGAGCACTTCCCTTTCAGCAATGCCTCTGACTCCTCCCGGGACGCTTCTACAAAAGAGACGCGACTACAATCTTGATTTCACAGTTTATGAAATGGAAGCACGGGGATTCTATCGTTTGT